TTTTGCTCCCCTTTTAACCTCCCATTCCCCCTTGGTAGGATTCTAGTCCTAAACAAATTAACTGGGTAAAAAGAAATACATCTCTGTTTATGTTGACATGGAACGAAACTATAAGGCCAATCCATTTTCTTCCCATCCTTGGTAAAACGTCTTGTTTTGAGAAAGGGGATAGTTTGGTCACGGGAAGAAATTCTAACCCATGATGCTGTGAAAAAAGGAAAGATAAGAATTCTTTCCCTAATTCAGTCTTTTACCACCTACAGGGTGTCCAGTTCTTAAAAAGTACTTCACAAAAGAACATTGTGTTTTCAAAGCAAAATGGGATTTATAAAAAAAATATACCTTGATGTTTGGAATGTCATATGGAAAGGCAACAGGATGTTTCCTAACCTTACATCCAACTAAAAGGTTTACCTTTCTAAATGCCCAATTTATGGCAAATTTGAGCTACATTCTATTAAAGTAAGGTGTGAAACTATTTTAATGAGTAAGAAGAACTGTCCTGTTGTCATATATTTCTGACAGTGTACATCTAAGTTTCAGGGGCTGTAATGTTGGGACATGAGTTGTAAAAAAAAGAAAAAAAAGTCTCTTACATCTTTAAACTAACAAACTTTTTAAAGAGACCTTACTATTATGGAAAATAATAAAGATTGTGTATATTTCATGGACATATTTTGTCTTAAACTGTTTTGTGGTTGTTGGAGAATAGATTTTTTTACTGGACATTTGAATTGGAATTTTATCATTCTCTTTTTCTTTTCTCTTCAAAAACATTGATTCTTCTTATGTTAAAGTTCTAATATATGTTTATGTATCCATACATAAATATAGATATATATTTGAACACACACACCACATATGAGCTTAAAATAACTGTTTTACTGATGCTTCTCAAAGTGAGTGTTCTAAGAAGGGAATATGTTCATGTAAGTTTACATAAAACCTAAAGATCTTTTTTTGGTTCAGTGTTTAGAAAATTCTTGATAATTTAGAATCTTCCACAATGGAAAGTAAAGCATTCTGTCACAAAAGCAGGGAGGATGAGACGCAAGGTCAAAGGGCATTTTAGAAACAAACAGCTGGTCCAGTTTATTTAAACAGATACAGGGATGGGGGAACTGACCTCTGTTTGACTTATAGTGGGAGGAGCAAGAATGTCATTTTATTACTTTGCCCAGAAGGAAAATGTTTTTGTATCTGAATTCACCCTGAAGCCGTCTAAACACATGGCTTTGCTGTATGTAGCATAATTCCAAAGAGAGTATATAGAAGACAGTCTAGGATCAAATACACTAAATAGAACCAAATGTTGAGATGGTTTTAAAATTGAAAAGATGATGCTGTTTCAGAATATAAAGTCTTTTGCTATTTACTTAGTTATTTTCAGATAAAGATGTCTGCCATGACCGTAGATAATATCAGCGTTTCATGTAAGTATAGAAAGCATAGTCCAATAAGATTCTGAGAGTTTCCTATGTTCTCTATGTATCAATAATGTTCATTATATTCAACAATTGTTTTAAATTCGTTTTCAAAAGCGAGAAGTTATCACCATACTGCTAATGTGGTCAAAACACTTTGGACAAAGTGATTAGGGGTTCTGAGATTTTCAGCTTTTTAAATTTTTATTTTATTAAATGCATGGATTCTCACCTTTATACCTACATATCCTATAGGTAGCCTACATCTGTGTTGTCAATAACAACAAATGGCTCTTGCCACCAAAAGGGAAGAAAATAGCACCTGGTACCTGTGGCCCCTTAGCTAAAAGGCTGTGATGAGGTATTCACTCTCTACATGGGGACCAGAGCAGATGTGGAGTAACTGCATTTAATGATGTCCCCTGAAGACCTTTAGAGGCACACAGACAAACCTCAGCATACTGAGCAGAGAGTATGGCCCAGGTGGTGAGTGGACTCAAAACCCAAGAAGAACTTTCATTCTACAAGAAACTTGTTAAGAGGGTGCCTGGGTGGCTCAGTTGGTTGGGTGGCTGCCTTCGGCTCAGGTCATGATCCTGGAGTCCTGGGATCGAGTCCCGCATCGGGCTCCCTGCTCGGCCGGGAGTCTGCTTCTCCCTCTGACCTTCTTCCCTCTCATGCTCTCTCTCTCTACCATTCTCTCTCTCTCAATAAATAAATAAAAATATCTAAAGAAAAAAAAAAGAAACTTGTTAAGAATCATGGATGTTTGGGGCACCTGGGTGGCTCAGTCGCTTAAACATCTGACCCGTGACTTTGGTTCAGGTCATGATCTCAGGGTGGTGAGATCGAGCCCGCACTGGGCTCTGCACTGGGCGTGGAACCTGCTTAAGATTCTCTCTCTACCTCTCCTTTTGCCCCTCCCCTCTGTGCTCGTGCTCTCTCTCTCTGTCTCAAAAACAAAAACAAAACAAAAAGGAATCATGGATGTTTAACATAAGGAGAAGCCTATGGGACATGATGCATGATGGCTATACTTTAAATATTTGAAGGCTATCCTGAAGAAGTGAGATTAGAATTGTTTAAATTCCCCCAAGGAGTTGTCCTGGTGAAAGGATTTTAGATCAAGTAATGCAGAACCTTCTCATAGTTACCTTGTCCATAGCTGGAGTGCACTTTCAGGTGAGGTAGCAAGTGCTTTATTAGAAACAATCCAGCAGAGGCTACCTATCCTACTTGGTGGGGATGTCATAGAGATGATTCATGTCAGTGACCAACCTAGGTGACAGTGAAAGCCCTTTTCAAACCTGAGATTTAATTTTTCTATGATTCCCTGGGTTTAATAGTCATGGATTCAAACCTAAGTTGGTTATTATGAACTGGTCTTTGGAAATCTGAATGTATGAGTGGGAAGGAAGCAAGCTTTGGAATACAGATAAGTCACTGAATCTTCTGATGCGTAGCCTTATCTTTGTCCATATGCACAAACAGTACAGTCATCAAAATTCCCAGTCTACAGAATGTTCAGTCATGCTTATTCCCAGACTCAGCAGTAGGGTTGTTGACAGTGGTGACTGGCTCAAAACCAGCTCATTCTTAGTTATCTATTTAGTTCAGAATATTCTAGATGGGTGGCACAGTAGTGGCCACGCTCTTGTCAGGATGTTGGGGGAAGGGGTGTTCACTACCATTTGCCAGCTGTGTGTCATTCAGCAAGTTATTAACATCTCATGGGTAACATGTGACCTCAAATAAGTCAATTTCTCTGAGCCTCGGCTTCTCAACTGTTTAAAAGTGCTCTTCCTATTTTTAGATGAATAGTATAAATCATATCCACAAAATACTATGTTTTTAGAAGGACTTTTAAAAAATGTTATCAGAGTTCCTTTCCTTTAAAAGCCTGCAGATTATGAACAGAACCGTAAAAAAAGAGCTGTTTTTTCGCTCTTTTACCTATGTTAGTTACTATGAAAATTACTTTTGGTATATGCAGAATATTAATATTAAATAATTTTCTAATTGGTCATGCAGTGAAGGCAGCTAATGAAAAAGCAGATTTTTTTTTCATTTTAATTGGTTATTTCACATGGTGTTTGTGCTACACCTGTGCTTTTAATGAGAATGGAGAATTAATCTAACCTTCTGCTCACATGATTCCAATTTTCATGGTTTATACAAGATAATGATAACCTGATTTGCAACACAATTTGTTGTAGATCTGTGTTTTAAATATTTTTATTAGCCAGTTCGGGGACTTCATATACAAGAACTGATATAATATATATTGCCAATAAGAGTTAGCACTAACCGTGCCCTTTTAGTTAGATTCCAGTTTCATTATTGACTTTAATTACTTTTCCGATAATAAAAGAACAAAAGGATATAGGATATTGGGAATCTTAAAATGTCACGAAGCATGTATTTTTATTTTAAAAATCTGTCCCTCTCTGTGTTTAGTGGTTTTTTAGGAACTACTTTCCTTCCTGAGTGGGCAGACTTACAAACTAGAATTCATACCGGACTGTGGACCCTTTAATCGTTATTAAACTTCTCATTGTATTTTTTATGTGCTGCTCATGTTCCATCTATTCAAATCTGAATTGAAAACTAAAAGCACTTTACTTTTTCAGAGTCTAATATGTCCCACTCATTTTCTGTATTTGATATATAATTCTTAGCATTACACAATACAAATGGATCTTAAGAGTTAGAAATTTCACAAGCTTGATTTTGTAGGGCTTGTACTAACCACTTAAAAAAGAATTCAGTGGCTAGCCACTTTTTGAGAGGCTGCAAAAATTGTAAAAAATAAGCCTTATTAAGACACTTAAATGACTTAATTAGATGTTTATTATAAATTTCCAGGGCTAGCTGGAGAAAGCAATATTATAAGTTCAATTACTGTATAGCTGTGACCTCGCCTTGACCTTAGACTTTGCATAAAGAGCCAAAAAAAAAAAAGCCACCCCAAGAAATCTCTACAAGGAATGCGTTTCTCTGAAGTCCCCAGCAGTGTGAGTTAGTGGTGATAAACTCCAGACATTCTCTCATTTGATGGTGTGCTGCCATCCCAGTTCATTATCTTAATAGTGGGCATTAAAATAGAATTAGGTTTGCAAGAGGTAGGGAAGGTTTTGATAAAAACTGTAAAAAAGAAGTCAGAGAACATAAGATTGAAATGTCACTAATTAGGAGAGGTAACAGATGCCCTTATGAACATCTTGCTCTCTACGCCAAATTTCCCCCCTTGCAATTGAAGAGTGGTGGCTCGTATTGTTTCCTGAAAACTCTGCTAATTCCCCCATGAAAAGATGAAATGGAAGTGTCCAACTGTGGTAAAACAGGCAAACATGAATCAACTCAGAAACCCCAAGCCTGTGTACTCAAAGGTCACTGGGGGTTGCAGGTTGTGGGGCACGTGAAGCCCTGTGCAGATCGGTGGAGAACACCATTTTGCCAAGACCTAGCTTTGCTCTCACTGTGCTTCGTCTTCTCCTCTTCCTCCACCTCCTCCTGCCCGCCCCCCGTTTTTGTTTAAGGAATAATGAATGATTCACTCTACTTTCTTGGTTACAG